CCCCCCCCTTTAAAAAAAAAAAAAAAAAAAAAAAGCCCATGTGGCTGAATGGAACACGCATGTAACTTTCTATAAACACGTCATGGGTTCAAATTTCAAAAGAAATCCTGATGGAACCAGACGGATACAATAAAAAGGTTAGACCGTTGGTAATGAACGGATCCTCTTTCCTTGTAAAAAAAAAAAAAAAAAAAAAAAAAAAAAGGTTAGACCGTTAGAGCTAGATATACTAATAAGGTCCCACACCTTCCCATCATCAATGACAAGAAAAGACGAGGCTTGCAACCTTATTGTATCTTTGTTGCTAAGTTCTAACAATTCCAACAAAGCACATCCCTATGTACAGCGAAGTCTCCTTCTACAAGCAGTCATACAACAAACCACAAAAACACTCCAAATACTCGAAACACGGCGCGCTCCAGTACCTTACATTAATCTCACCGTCCACCCATAAGATTAAAGATTACAGGTCCCATAACCACGCAGTCTACGTAGACGTTCTCACAAGAGTCACACCCGTTCTTCTACCCCACAAGAGAAGTAACGTCAGCTGAGCCTGAGGGTCCAATGAGACATCCAATTAAGATCTGATGAATTCCCCCTCCTATTAATTTCCTAACCATGCCTGTATCCAGCCGGAACAGGTCCGCACACAACTACTCCACGCACACAACTACTATCCACTGTATCCAGCTTGACTGGGTCCTGACTCCGGACACAGCTTCAAAACCCAGCTAATAATAAACCATTTTTTTCTACCTTGGCAACCTTGCTGCGAGTGTGCGTTAAGTTATGGGAAGTTTTAAACCATCTTTTGTTTGTTATAACAACTTCGTCCTTCAGTCACTGCTTTTTTTGTTTTCTTTTAGTCTTTTCTCTTCAAAAGGGGCGCTTAAAGGGCTTCACTTACAGTTAAAGGGGCCCTTCAGTCACTACTTTTCTTCGCAGCTTGGACTGATTTCGGAATTTTCAAAATCCTGGCGGAAATGGCGCCCAACCTGCGGCTTATCATAATTTTACACGCATCGTTATCCTTCGATACCTCGCAAGGCAGCGGCACTCTGAACGAGTCCGGGGATACCGAAGTTGATGCTCCCTCACGTCCTCCTCCCCCAGCTACGTTCTTTCCTCCTCCTCCTCCTCCTCCTCCTCCTCCTCCTTTTCTACCTTTGGCGGGAATGATGTCCACCGCCAGAAACTTGCCGTCGACCAAGACCGACACTTTGGCGTGCTCCACTGCGGGCAACTCTCCGGGCGCCAGTACATCCACAACGATGCATTCCGCGAAGAAGTGAATGGCGTGCTGCCACTCTTTTCGATCGTTGACGGAAAACATCTTGTCGATCATGTCCATATCTCTGGAGAAGGACAAGTGTTCGAGTCCGAGTGTCTCTCTCTCATCGGGAGATAGTAGGGCCGAAGCCCGTGGATCGCTGTGGCAGCGCCACGGCCGAATCTCACTAGCTGAAACTGGCGCGACTGTGAGAGAGGAAAGAGCAGCGGGAATGCCGACGGCGACTAAACCAGCGGACGCAGAGAGAACGCAGAGCGTGACGAACCACGACCGGCATTGCTTAAGGACGCTAGCAGTTATCAGGAAGCGCGCCTTTGCCACGTCGTCCACCCATTCGAAAACCGACATCAACTGCGCGGCACTGCGCTTCATAACCACACCGGATGGTAATGGCTGTCGGCTGAAGGCGAGCAAGAGCGGACTGTCGCGATGGCGAAGAAGGGCAAAGCCGGGCGAAGCGTCGTAGGTCACAAGCAGCAGACGAAGATTGTCAATGATTGTGGAAGGGGGGGAGGTTGACGGGGAGAGAGGGGGGTTAGCTCTGCTGAAGGCAGCCTGGACTTTGGCGTGCAATAGCAGCTCCCACTTGAACATTGGCGCTTGGCCTTCAGGGTCGCAGCGAAGCAGAGCCTGAACCATGGGCTCAGGATCGTTGTCACTCGACGCCATCGCCAGCAAGTGAACGAGCGTGGTGGACGACGGCATGGAGTTCTTGCAAGCCCTCAGAAGCTCGAGCAACAGGAACAGCGCGCTGATGCCGCACATGCGCGAGTGCGGCAGTGTGGGGGTATCTGCGGAAGCTGCAGCTATTTCTAATCGAATTCCTCCCGCAGCCGCAGCCGCAGCCGCAGCCTCAGCTGCAGCCTTAGCTGCAGGCGCAGCGTTTTTTCCGCCGGCCGGTTTGACTTCGTTAGTCAACTGAAGGCGATTGCCGCCGAGCAATCGGATTCCCAGTAGCGTTTCATACGAGGCGAGCGAGAAGCCTTCTGGTAACTGCGACTCTACGAACTGGACTGGACCTGGGTCAAGGTGGGGACCACCAAGACGCGCGCGTGCCTCATGCAACAACACCTTGCTTTCGATCCGGAGACGAGACGAGGGCCTCCGAGCCAGAAAAGGAGCTGCGGCTTGCAGAAGCGCAGGAACTGACACGTAGTCTGCCACGTTGGAGCAGTCGATGAAGTCGTACAGGTAATTACAATCATCATGATGCCCATTATGCAGCGGCTGACACGGAGAACGAGAATGCGTCCCCGAGGTCACCTCCCGCGGTGACGTCATCAGATCCAGGATGTCGCCAGGAACCAGTTGTAAACTCGCCGTACCCGAGCGGAGAGCACTTGCCAGGCAAGTGATCCCCGGCGTAATCCAGGTCAGAAGGCCCTCCAGTGCCGTCGAGCAGGCGGCATCAAGTGGCACGGCGCGGAAGATCGAACTCGAAAAGTAGACAGTGTATTGCAGAGCTGGCGCAAGGAGTAAGGTCACGTTCGCCGAGGTCAATGGCTCCGATGATGACGGCGCATCTGAAGATCGACCGCTGCGCCTGCGGCTGCGCCTGCTGGAGCTACCGGGGCTGCTGCTTCCGCAGCTGCTCGATCTCTGGCGGTCGATACTGCCGGTGCGGAGGTAAGCGGAGACGTCCTGGCGGAAACGTCCGCCAGTGGCCGCAATAGAGAGGTCGATCGCGTGATCTACGACGCCGAGAAGGAGGGCGTTGCGTACCTCAAGCAGCTCCGACAAACTCATCGTGCAATCCGCCCATGCACGGAACACAGCTCGCAGCGAAGCCTCCGCCCGCGCATCCGCGGGCGCATCGGGATCGAGCGAAGATGCTGCCGACAACCAGGTTGGCCATGGCTGCACTGCGAGCAAGGAGAGGGATCGCGAGAGCATGGCGGCTTGCAGATCCGTCAGTCCGTGATTAGCCCAGACGGCCAGGACGACATCTGCGGTGGCACCTAACTCCGCCGCCATATGGATTAGCACGGCGCTTCGTGCAAGCATGCTCACGTTTCCATCATTGAGCACATAATGTGTTCCTCCAGATCTTGCCGTCTCTCTCCTCGACGCCGCCACACGAAACTCCACAGATCGCGCCGTGGCCAGCAGATTCCGGATATCCCCACATGCCGCGAAGAGCAGGCGTCGCTGCGCAACACCATCCCCGACCCCTCCCACCTCCTCTCCGCCCGCGGTCATCGCCGCCGCCGACTGATGACGTGTCGTCGGCGATCCGAACCCGTCGCTAGGCGCAGTTAAGTCATAGCCAAAGGTGTTTCCGATGGCGTAGTAGGCGTGGGAAAGCGGATCCCATTGGGCAAGCTGGGCTGTGTGGTGAAGCCGCCGCTGCGTGCGAATATCAGGCGCGCGCACCCGCGCTCCGCCATGCCCACTGCTTTCCGCCGCTTGCTTCCCCTCCGCTAGCAACAGCTGTCCCTCCCCCGCAAGCACTGACGTCGATGGCAAGCGATCGGCCTCCGCCAGAGTGAAATGCCGGTTGTCCCTCACGTTGGCGGGTCGTGACCATAGACCCATCACATTGATGATTAGTCGATTTTCCCGCCACTCCGGACTATCCTTCGCATCTTGGAACACAGCGAGCTCCCTAGGCCCGGCGAATGCATTCCCGTAGATATCGACAACGCCTCCATAGTTGATGGCCACATAGACAGCACATTGCGGCAGCCTGTGACCTCCCCAAGTCTGGGTCGACTTGCCCCCTCTGTACACGAACTGGCACGCACGGATCCATACGTCCGTACCGCCTTTCACGAAGACTGCCGGCATGTCGCAGTTGTCAAACCTGCATTGATTCAACGTCACCACGGCGCCGAAATCCGCCGACAGGCCGAACTGCCCTGAGCGCGCGATGGTGCATCCCGACAGCACGAGCTCCAATTGAATCGCGCGCTCTTTTCCCCACAAGGCCGCCGCAGCGCTGGTTTCGTTCTTGTACCCGCCAAAACCAGTCTCTCGCTGCATCGCCGTCGGCGCGTTCTCAAACGTACCTGCGGCAACGACGTTCTCCATCATCGAGCCCTCGATCCGGCTGTTCTTTATGCACACCCTTCGCGCCCCACCGTAGGCTGTCACTCCCTGCATGCAATCGACGATGGAGATGGACTCGGCATGGAGTGTCCCTCCTTCTCTCACCTCGATCGCTTGTTTGGCTGTGCGGCGGAAAGAGCAGTGCGACAACTCCGCGTGACCGCCGGCAATCAGTACTCCCGCCTCGGCGTAATCGTGAATACGGCAATTAATGAGTCGAAGACGCGCGTTCGAACTCACGCAAACTGCCGAAACCTGACTACTTCCCGCCATCTGGACATTAGCGATCAGTAGGGAACAGTTCTCGCCGTCAAGGGCAATAGCATGACTGATCGGCGAGACCAGTTCGACATTCCCAAGGCCAATCAAGGCAAGAGATTTCCCAGCACAACAAGACGACAGTCGCGTCGTCGTCATCGGCATCATATTATACGAACCCGGACGCAAGACGATTACTACACCCTCCTTGCTACCTTCACCCTCATCATCACCACCTGCTTGTCTGGACACTGATGCCGCGGCCAATGCAGCGACGAGTTGGTAATCAGACGAGACGATTGCGATCTTCTCAAGATCTTTGGGCATCCAAGATTGATGATGGGTTTGAATCGACCGGTACAGGGTCCAAACTTGGTCCCATCCGCTCCTGCTGCCCAAAGCCCCTCCACTGCAGATGGCTATACCAGCCCTAAGGTCATCCACCGGCAGACATTGAGCTAATCGTGTCCACGCCTTGAAATAGCAAGGGTCGAGAACTGTAGAAGCTTGGCAATCGGCAGCAGCGGCATCGGTGGCGCCCAGGCGCAGATGACACGCGGCGCGGTTGGCCAGAAGCACGGCTCTCTCGGAGGGTGAGTGGGATGAAGGCGGCGAAGATGATGTGCCCCGGTCGTCTTCTCCAGAGACTGTCTGAGAAGTTGGACCCCCATCGAGTCCGAGCGTGTAAGCGGCTATGGCGCCATGGTAATCACCGGCAGCAAACAGATCATTGCCACGAACGCGAGCCATGGCCACTTCGCCCACGCCCTCTCCCCGATTGCTTCCCCTATGCAACAAACTCTCTTTGATAGTGCTTCTCCCA